TAGTGAATCATATTTACCAAACTATCTACACATAGCTGAGGATATATCAGTTAATACAACTGAAAACAATTGTTTTTTGGTTAATATTGTGCTATCGTGTTTTTGCTAATACTACTATACAATAAAAATTATTATTTAAACTTTAGCTAGCAACTGTGAGTAATATATTATGTACAAATTTATAAAAATTCTGAATGAAGCATAAATTTTACTAACTTGCATTTCAATAGTATTGTTTATTATTTTCTTAGGAACTCCAATCATTAATTGTTCAAGAAATTAATTTTTCAGACGTTGACAATTCTATAGATGCTGAAAAAGTTGCTAATTATCTAGAAAAATTACAAAATGGCACTAAAGAAGATAACGCAACTCACAGTTTGTTACAAAGCAACACTTTTATTTTGGAAGCAGAGACTGTTGTTCGTAATAATCAGCTTGCATATTTAGTCAATCCAGTTGAAGAAAAAAAATGTTGACTGCATTGTGAATAGTTTTACCAATCTTACTAAGCAAAAAAAAGAAGCCATCAAACTTTAATTCTACAACAGTTTCAGATTTTCCGATTGCAAACTCTTCCTACCCTGGTAAGTCAATCATTTTGCAGTTTTTTTTCATTTCATTTAATCAAGTGATCAATAGTTGCATAGCAACAATGCAACTTTTAATAAATTTTTTGTTTGAAAATAATTCAAATTTTTTAAAATTATTTAAATACTTGTTCTTTTATTGAATATACATGTTTTTATCAACGTAGGTTATTGAGATGATGATGCCTTGGTATATCCTAAAGCCACTGCACGGAAAAAGATAGCAAACAGAAAATTGTCAGCTTAAATACTTCGTTTTAACTTCTCAAGAAACATACTCTGCAAAGCTGAAATATTACCAAGACAAAATTCAACAGGAAAGAGAAAAATGCAAAAGAAAAGAACTACGATTTGTTAATGCCGCTAAGCGACTCAAAGAAAAACAAGAAAAAAAGGTATTGGCTAAGAAAGGCAAAATTAAAAAATCGTGCCAACAAGTCTATAACAACAACAAAAAGAAGTTCATTTTATTACCATCTGAATTGCAACCATTGGTTGATCCTGAGAACAATACTGACTAATATGTACCTAATATTTGATAATATTTTTTTATAAAACTAAAAATGCATACAATTTTGTCTTACCTAAATAAACTTTTTTATTATTTTAATTTAAAAATACTCTAATAGTCTTATTTGTGATAAGACCTAATGGTCTTATCACTAAGCACCACCACAAGGGCTTAACCATTTAATGAGTTGGTTCCCCATTTCGAGCTTTACCGGTAACATTCATGTGTTTCGGGCAGGATTCGAACTTTCAACCCTTATACAATGAGTTCCATGCTCTAATCACTACGCCACGGCTGCTCTATATAAAAATTAAACTCATGACTGGGGCAAAAAGAAGAAAATATTTGTCATATCACTACGGCTCGTAAGCATTGATGTATTAAAAATATACTTTATTTACACATTTTACAATTAATTTCGAGATTAACTAACAAGATTTAATCTCACTCACCCGTATATAACGTCGCCCTACGCAAGTATAAGTTCTTTTTTAATTTACACAGTAGACGACTACAAATCAACATGACGAGATTGAGTTCAAGTGGGCGAGAGTCAGTGCTTTTGACACACTGTATAATTTATAATGGCACTGGCAACTACTCTTATAAAATCTAAAGTTCAGTGCGGATGTGGGCGAGGTTCAATTAAGTTACTCTAATTTATTATTTTTTCCAAAAAAAAATTTCCGATCAAATTGCTAGTTCAAGAAACTGTGAGACAATCCCTACAAAGGCGAGAAAGCCTCTCACATCATTTTTTCTAAGAAACAGTCCTTAGCAGATGTAGTGGCCAGACTTGCAGCCGCTGATGGATTTTCAATTCAAGGAAAAGGCAAAAGTAAGTTCATTCGTCAAGCATTAAGTGAAAAACAATACCATCTTTCAAAAGGTAAAAACAATGTTAGGGGTCGTTCCCAAATCACGTCACGCTTTTAGGGGAGGGGGGCATAGATTTTGTGACAAGCTTTAACAAAAAGCATTACTTATAATATATATTTTGTAACAAGGGGAAGGGGGTCTACAAAATTGTTTTTTTGTGTGACATAATTTGCGAATGACCCCTTATGAAACTAATTTATGGAAATTGTCCTATGGCAAAAAAGAAAATTATTGTTAAAATCAAATCACATAAAGAAAAAAGTAGAAAATTCATACTTAAAGTTTGATTAACAGACAAGTCTATAAAACTATTAGAGTTTGCAATTATCTCTTCGGATTTTGATGCATCAACCACGAATGCTGCTGCAGTAATCATCAAATTTGGTACATAATTTGGTTTTACACATCAATTATGTTATAACCACAACATATACTTGGCTGAAATGGACGTTATGTATGAAAAAAATGAAAGTTTTAATGTTCGTCACATTGATTATTTAAAAAACGAATGTAGATTTTTCTGTGATAACTCTAGGGAATCTAAAAATGATAATCTAAACAATTTTAAACCGCAAATATGTGAAAGAGAAGATATAATTGTGGCTTTACAAATGATTAGAAAAATAGTTAAGTTTTTTAAACATTCGTCTTAAAGGAATTCCATTATACAAAACAATGTTAAAGTAGAGCACGGAATTAAACTCAATTTACTGCTTTTAAAAGTGATGGATGCAGTAAAAACAGCATTAAATGAGTTGAACTCCTTAGAGCTATTTAACAATCTTTATGTTTCACTTTTAAAAAATGTTTCTAACGCTCTTCAACCAATCAAAATATCTGCAGTAGCATTAGGTAAACGTGATGCAAATTTGCTAACAGCTGATGCACTTTTAAATTTTTTTTGATTCCCTGCGTAACAACAATGATGCAATTTCAAAGAAGATTTTGCTAGCTCTGTCTTTTTGCGTTAAAGAACGAAAAAATCAAGGTTTTGTGAAATTGATTTAAATAAGAGCGAAGAAATCAATTTATTACCTCCAAACGCGCGATTTACATTTAACTTCTACTCCTGATCTACCTTCATTTTCAAAAGCTGCAAATATAGATTATTTAGTGAAAATGTCTTTATTGGAATTGAAAGTAAATCATCTAAAGAGAATAGTTGCTTAACTGTTACAAAAATTAAAGACAGGTTGACCATAGCTATAAATGCAGCATATAAACCTAAAAAGTGTGTTATAACTCTATATTCTAATAAAGACCTCAAAAAAGAATTTAAAATGTATGAGAACACTGAAAATATTACAAATAGTTTGAAAAAGCTGCCTTAACTTGCATACAGCCAACCTTAATAGAAAATGAGAGATTATTTTCATTGTTGTCGAATTTTGATCAAAACAAAGATCATCACTTAGTGACTAATCTTTAAACTGCCTTAAAATTTTAAAAAGTTATTTCCTAACCAGTTAACTGATATATATATATATATATATATATATATATATATATATATATATATATATATATATATATATATATATATATAAATTTCGTATATACATACAAATTTGAAATAAAATAACTTTTTAAAAATGAATGTTGTTTTTTTGTTAAAAGTTAGTCTATATATTTGTTTAAAAATTATTTTTAAATTTCCCGCTTTCCGGGATCAAAAAGATGTCGAGAATTGATACCCTCTAAACACAATATTTCTAGTTGTTAGTAATTAGTAGCGGTTGAGCGTTCGCTTCGGAAGCGATAATAACACAACATCTTTAGATTTTAGTTGTAACATATTACAACTAAAAATCAGGACAAGCATTTTCGCTTTAATATATATGTCTTTCAATGTTTTAAAACTTTTTAATGTTATCTATTTTGTTGCAAATGTAAAATCTACAATATACTTTAGTCTTTTTTTCACAACCTAAATAAGCATGTCTAAAGCTAATAAATAATCAAGAGCCACTCCGCAATTTTTTGGATTTGCATATGAATGATAAAACATTTATTGTTAATCATTTTATCAGCTTTTTGTTAAACCCAAAATCGACTCTGTACAATATAATGCAACAAAAGGAAAACAATATAGAACCAGAAACCAAAGTCGGAAGTTATCGACAAGCCTAAGAAACAATTCAAGCATAAGAAAGTTGATAAATTAGAAGGATAGTGTTTCAAAGTATAGTTTAACCCCGTATTTAATGTTTCCAAGCAGTAAATTTTTAAAATTGTCAACGAAAAGTTTAGCATTTGTTATTGAAAAAAAACTTAAGTGCCACAAAAAATATTGGCTCAGAAAGCAGCTGTGCGCCTTAAGTATAGAAAATTGGCTGCATTTTTTTCGAATAATTGCAATTCTTGATGACGATTCATATTTTCCTTTAAACAACACTGGTCTATCTGGTCCGGGAATTTCTGGCAACACAGGGTATACTTCTTATCCAGACACAACTATTGTGGTAAAACTCAATAAAAATAACAAATACGATCCAAAGCTATTATTTTGGATGGCTTTGACCGAGAAAGGAATCTTAAAGCATTGTATTACTCTTTTCGGGTCAAGCAGCCGATAAGGATGTTTACATTTCCAAATATCTGGTTAAATTAAAGAATTTTATTATAAAGGGTCAAAAAAACGACAAAATTGTGTTCTGGCTTGTTCTAGCTTTCGCACACTATCCAGGATTACCTAAACCGGGAACATACGTGCTGAGAAAAAGAAATCCTACTAATGTACCCGAATAGCGCCTGATAAAGTAGCGCAACTCAAGTTTAAGATTGAATGGCGCTGCAAGTTTATTTAGTCATTATTTATTCTTTGAATTTGAAAAACAAAATCAATTTCAAAAATACCTAAATAAAAAAAATTCTCTCCTATTATAAGTTTAGACTTTAGTCTAAACTTATTATAGGAGATCATTTCTTTATATTTCAAATTAAGAATCACATTAAATGTGCAGATTTCAATTTTCACAAATCTTTAATATACTTTAATAATAATAATATACAAAACTTACAGCATTTCTGCATGATCCAACAACAGATTTGCGTCTTTGGCGCTGATAGTTTCCAACAAAAACTGTCTTTTCATCCTCTTCTGAGTCAAAATTGGTTTGGCTGCCAAATTTATTCATGAAATTGTCACTATAAATTTATGTCAAGATTTTTATTATTTAATTTTTTTCAAGATATTATTTAATTTGCTTAATAATTGCTAAATAAATTCTATGCAGTCTTGTCAAAGAGCACCACTGGAGAAGATTTTAACCAGAAAGTGTACGCCTTTATTATTACCGATCTCGCAAATATGGCTAGTTCTGATATTGATCCACGGACATATAAATTCTGAAGTATATATATCAAGTAAATTAAAGGAGGTGGTGGGGGGGGGGGGGAGAAATTTGTTATTTTACATGTAATAATTTTGTAATTGTAAATTAAAAAAATAATAATTATAATAAATGTATATTAAAAAAATAAATAAACAATAAATGCATTCTTTATTTTGAACTTATATTGTTACCAACCAATAAACATTCTGTACAACTTAATGGTTTCGTTTTTGTAAAATTATTTGTCACGTAATCTAAAATGACATATATAAATACATTACTATTACAATTACCAAAAAAACGTTCCATTTTATGATGTATGCTAATTTAATGTTTCATTGAATTGTATTAATTTAATTTATTATTTTTTTTAATGTAACTTACTAGCAAATTTATAAAATTGTCAGGGACGGCCAAAAAAAATTTTGCACGAAGTTGGAAAGATATTTTGTTCTGAGTATTCTGTTCTGAATATATTTTATATAGTCTTGAAAGAAAACCTTTAAAATTACTCACTATATGGTGAAATTGAAGAATGTGGTTTAATTAATACATTAGTAGGGAAAAAGCGCCTATGATGGCACACTTAACTTTGAAGCTTCATTATTCATATCCTGAAGACCAAGAACAAAATTATTGATATGGATACATTCTTCATTGTATGTAGAACAATAATAAACCTAGAAGTTCTCATCAGTTTTATTATTTTAATAGTTATTTTTATTTAAAAAAAACAACACAAATATGCATCATAGACAATTACTGCTCCTATGATGGCATAGGGGAGGATGAGGCTGGTTAGCATCAAGGATAACTTTACGATTTCATTTAACCTTATAGTCTTTCCTCAGAAATGCCAGAAATTACGTGTAATAATTTTAATTAACCCTTTTGTGCTACACAGATATTCGCGCATGCGTATTAAAGATATTGCGTTTAATGTGTTTTTTGAACCAAAAAATTTTTAGTTAAGTAAATTTTCCTTTATATTTCACTAACAAATATGTTGTTTTTATGAAGGAAAAAAAAAGGTTTTCTCAACTCGTCAATATTGCAACACACTTAACTCAGTATGCTATTATAGGAAGAAGTCATCTTTTTCATTTAAACAAGCTGTGTTCAAAAGATAAAATTAAAATAAGTATTCTACTAAATGCACAAAACTTGGAAATAAAATGCATAAAAATTTTATTTCTGTACAGTTAATATTAAAATCACAATATTAAATATTGACAGGGATTAAAAATACAAGTTAGGGTTTGCAATCTCGGGATCCCGAATTCCTTTTTTATAATCCCGAAATCCCAGAATTGTCTAATATCATTCCCGGGATTCCCTATACGATCAAGCAAAACAGTGGGGAAATCAAAAAGTATTTAAAAATAACAACAATTTATGCGCATCAATATAATAATTTTTATATTATAATATAATTTTAGTATAATATCACCAAAAGTAATTCTATTTTCAGTTATTCCCCTACGGGCATTTGTTTTGACATTTAGAACATAACTTTTAAAAACAAAGGCCCGTTGGGTCTGTTCTGTAATTCTGCAAAATAAACTTTTTTAAACTGAAAAAAAAACGTGCGTTTTTTACAAGGTTTAGGGATCGTCCTGAGAAAATGGCGTTTCTGAGATAAGAGGGCAGTAGGTCAATTATAAAAGTATGGAGACACTAAATTAAAAAAAATATCATAAAATGTTGAGCAAGTTGTGGGGGAGGGGGGCGGTTAGCGAAAAAAAAGCGTACGTACTTTAAGGACGACCCCTTACTCTTAAAATTAAAACTTAAAGAAGCATGGTGTATGTGGATTTTATAATTAAAAGTAACTCAGCAGTTTGGAAATATTTTCTACGAGAAGAGAAAGGGCAAACAGCAATTTGTAAATTGTCAAACTGCAAGAAGATTTAAAAAATCTGTGGTGGTTTAACAAAAGGACTTCATATACACACGTTGTCGGTGCATAATGTGAAGGTCAAAAGTCCAATCCAAACTAATATTACCGGAGAAAGCACATCAGATAAACTACCAAAAAAGAAATCTAAACCACTAACAGAATACTTTTCGATTTTCGGGTAGGAGAGAAATTTTCTTTGTGTTTTGACGAAATCGTCGCTACATGAATATTAACGTTCATGGAAAAGTTTCTCAATTTTGGAGTTTGGGTTTAGTACGAATAACTGGTTCAATGCCAGAAAAAAAGTGCATTGAACTATTAGAAATAGAACTTAAAGACCATTGTCTTGATCTACACGACGACATAGTGGCTATAATAACCGACGGAGCTAGTGTTATGAAAAAAGTTGGAAGGTTGCTGGCTGCAAATCAACAATTATGTTTTTCCTACGGCATACAACTTGCTGTAATTAATGTTCTTTATAAAAAAAGAGAATTCGATGCAAATCAGCCAAAGTTTTTTGCAAATTTTTTGACAGTGATTCATCCGAAAATGAGAAAGATTTACTGGGCTACAATCATGAAACTTTAAGATCTAAAATTAAACTAAATGAAGTTCATTATGGACCAGTCATTAAAAAATTACGCAAGCTGATAATAAAATTTAGACGATCACGTACCAAGAACGACATCTTAAGAAAATATATTAAGGCTGATTTCAGAAAACAACTGTCTTTAAATATGGATTGTAAAACAAGGTGGAGCAGCCTTCTATTAGTGCTTAAACAATTTTATAAAGTAAAAAATTGTATACAAAAATCATTAATTGGCATTTACACAGTGCAAGATAATTCTATAGCTCTGTCGCATGATGATTTGACAATATTATCAGACTTTATTACAACTTTAATTCCTATTAAAGCAACTGTTGAAACACTTTGTCGCCGAGATTCTAACCTATTTACAGCTGACATTGCTATTAAATTTATGCTTACAAAATTAAAAGATGTTGACAATAACACAAGCAAGGAAATGCGTACAGCTTTAATGGCTCGTATACATGAACGCCGAACTGATATAAGTGAACTTCTGCAATGCCTGCATAAGGGTCAAAGCTCCGTTAAAGTCTATGAAGAAACAGTTGCTGTACCTTCTTCATATACATGTCGAAAACTGTTGGTAGAATTGTTGGAATGATTAAACGCTTCCAATCCTGCATTAGTAAGAGCATCAGTTGGGTCTAGTATGCTAGATTTTATTGAAGAACCTGAAACTGAAAATTATACTTTAAGTATTGCAGAGGACCTTGATCGTGTAACTAAAGAAGCGCAATCACCAATGCAACCAGTTAGGCATGAAACACTGTTATCAAAAATTCAAAAAGAAATAACATTATTTGTAAATGGTGGTACACGTGGTGATTATTTAGAAAGCATTTTTAATGACGGTGAAACCGACAAGTGTTGAGGCTGAGTGGGCATTTTCTTCCGCTGGACTGATTAATAATAAAATTCGTAACAGGTTGGGCGATGAAACATGGGACGCGTTGTGCTTCCTGAAGTCACATTTCAAAGCACATGAAACATGATATATTTCCTTATTTTTAATGAAATTTCTTAACATTAAATAACATATTTTCCTTCTGTGCATTTAACGATGTAATGCAAACAGCATCAATTATAAAACATATTTTTGTTTAAGAGTGCACTGTCTATATTCTACTTAATACTATATTGATGCTATTTCTGTTTTTCAATCCTGGGATCAATCCAGAGATCCAGGGATTGATGTTTCTCAATCCCGGAATCCCGGTATTGAGAAACATCAAAGCAATATTTGTGCATCAGGGACATTTAATATAAAAGCAATATTTGTGCATAAGGGACGCATTTTTACTAAAACTAATGCAAAGTCAGTATTGGCATGTTGGTCTAATCCCTTTTTGCCATAACCAATTTTTATGAAAATATGACCGGTATGTCATCATAGGTGCTATGCCATCATAGACGCCTTTTTCCTTAATGGTTACTTGCGATATTTTGAACATTCGTATATATGAGGAAATCGAATTTTTAGTTGATTTTGAGAATTTTGATATCCGTTAAAAAAGTATTTTGTCATCCTATAAAAAATTAAACTTACTCTCACAAATATATTTTGCTTGTAAGAATATTTTTGAATAATACATTGTAAGAATAATACATTCTTTACCCTCAGGTACGAATAAAAATGAATTTTTAACCACCGTATTCGTTTTGTTAAATGTAGGTTGTATTCAGTGGCGGATTAGGACTTCTTGGGGCCCGGGGCTTTTTTTGTTTTTGGAGGTCTTTTTATGGGCCAGTGGCTAAAAATGACTAAAAAAAAAAAGGTTCTCTAAAATATTTTGGGGCCCCTAAATTTGCGGGGCCCGAGGCTATATCCCCCTCTTGATCAGGCACTGGTTGTATTATTTCAACAAATGATAATTTTTTTATTTCACTTTTTGTGTTTTTGATCATTTTACAAGCTAATAAAAAAAATCTAACTACTTCGAATTTGAATTTGAATTTACTCATATAGTAATTAATAATTACAAATATCATTAATTTTTGTAATTAATGAGGATAATGAGTTTGCGCCCCTGACGAAACAGTGGGTGGTCTAGACAAACATGTCCTTGCAGAAAGTAACTGTCGAAGCATCTATAACGTTATGCGATAAAGCCTTCCAATGAATGACGACACGATTTGCAAAGAAATATTCACGTATTTTGTTCGTAAATAATCTCAATTTGGTCCTGAGTAAACAAATAATTTTGAAATTTTATTTTAATTATAATATTTTTCCCAAAAGAACTGAAGTTTTAATTTTGTTTTTCATAGTAGCAAGTACGTAGTAAAATAAGTAGTAAGTCATATTAGTAAAATTCGTTTGGGAGAAAGTTTTAGTTTTTGATATTATACAATTCTTGGTCGCCAAATTTTTTAGTGTTTGTTAGTTTTTTATGCACCGTTTCAATTATAATTTTACTTTTATTTATTTTCTCTCAAATGAATTTGCTTTATGTTTAAAATGTTTTTCAAATATCTTACTTTGAGTAAAAAAGTAGGAATAAAATTTTCCGCGGTGCTCTGTGATAAGACCGTAAGGACTTCTTGGGGCACCTAAAATTAACATTTAATAAAAAAATTCAAACAAAAATTTGGTTATTTTTATTTTTAATTAGATATTCTAGCCCAGGAATTTCATGTATTTAGATATTTTTGAAAAAAAATTTAATGACGTATTTATGTTTTAAAAAGGAAATTTTACTATAGTTCCGATTAAATTTCTAGTATATAGTATAATAATTTTACGAGTAACATCTAGTTTTGGATGTGTCGTGTCTTTTTAAAGCACAACACGGATTTTAAAAAGTAGGAATAAAAATAGCTTCATTAAAACTCTGAGTGTGTCACACAGAACTGAAAACACTTCCTAACTTTTCTTTTTTTTAAGTAGTTAAATTTATTTAAAAAAGTAAAACTGTTGACGTCAACTTGTCTTGATCTCCCCCCCCTCTCCCTTTGTTTAGATTTTTAGATCTCTCCTCCCCCTATTTTTTGATGCAATAATGGACAGCTCTTTTCATTGCTTCAAAAAGTGAATTATTAACGCTAAAGAATATGCTGTTCAACATGTGGCTTCAAAAAAATTTTTTTTTAACTAATTAGTTGAATTGATTATTCACATATATACATTCAATAATCACAACTTTACTTTTTTTAGTTTTTATTGATTTGTCAAAAACCTATGATACTGCAGATAAAGAATTTTTCCTTGATCCTTGAGATACAGAAAAGTTATAAGTAAAAAAAAAAAAAAATGCTTTTGTATGATGATTAAGAACAGAATGCAGTAAATACTTTATAAAGAAAAGATTACAAAAATTTAAATTATCTTTTTAAAAACATGTTTGTTGAAAAATTTAACTTATCTATTAAAAACATGTTTGTTGAAAAATTTAACTTGTAGTTCAATTTTAGAACCGTTATTCTTACTATTGCAAACATTGTTTTAGTTGATTTGCTGTTGACTTATATAGGCATTTTGAGCAGTTAAATAAAGTTTTGCTCATGAGTTACTTAGTGGACCATTAGTGACAGCCGCCTTGAACAACCAGCCAATAACTTTCCGTCATGTTAATAGTGGCTAATCATTAGGTAGCCACTTTTAGTGGGTGCCACGAATGGTCTACTAACTAACTGATGAGCAAAACTACAATGAACCCCTCAATATGCTTACATAAGCCAAATTTATACTTAATTTAAAATATTTAAATGCTAAAAAATTAAGTATAAATCAAGTGTTCTTTTTATTTCAACAAAAATATAAAAGTTCTTTTTAATATATTAAATGAAAAGTCATCTAAAGTATAGAAGTGATTTACAGATTACAATCTAATGTAAAAAAATTCCTTCTACTTTACGAGGCAAGTAAAAGTCGTCAAATTTCTCTTAAATTGAAAATAATTTTAAATTCTTTTAATCTATAAAGCAATTATTATAGGAAAATAAACCATTAGCGTTCAAGAAGTGATTTTAAACAAAAATTTTTTTTTTTAAAATTACTTGATATCATTTTTATATTAAGCACCTGTATTATTAAAGTTTAATTTTTTTTTTCTTTTTAAATAAAATAAATTAAACCATTGGTAAAATGTTGATGTTATTGCTAACTGCTGCCCTTATTATATGTGTAAGTTGAGGTTTTTATAATAAATTTAATAAAAACTTAACCTTAGCTGTTAAATAAAGTAACCTCACCACCAAGCTACATTGAACTAAATCAACTAAGATATAACAGAAGTTGAAAGGATTTTCTCTCTAAATTTAATAAATTGTTTTTGACAGTTAGTGTCCGCTCCATCCGATGCTTGCATTCATAAAACTTCTCTTCATTTATTTTAAGATAATATTTTGTATACCCAATAGTTCTTTAACTCACACACAGCTGAAAAAATAAGTTCTTCAAAAGACCTTCTAAACATTAGTAACAAAATCGCCACCACTATTACAAACAATGCTTTTAAAATGATAAAACTGCTTGCAACACTTCTTATACGTTTCAATTTGTTATTAAGGGTTTTAAGGAAACAAATTCACCCAACATTGTGTTACATAAGAGTTACACAACTTAGTGTAAAAGTATGTAAAAACTATAGTTGTGTACAAACTATATTATATATGCAATATTATATTACTGCATCAACTTTATTATAAATACACTATTATAGTAGGACTTTTATATGTATATATATATATATATATATATATATATATATATATATATATATATATATATATATATATATATATATATATATATATATATATATATATATATATATATATATATATATATATATATATATATATATATATATATATAAAGCGCCTTACTGGACAAACATATTGTAAAGTATAAGAATGTTGGTGTATTTTAAAATATAATTTTGTTAGTTTCACTAGCAAACTAATATTTGATAAATTTTTTTCCTAACAAATTTCTTTGGATTGAAAACGGTTTGTCCTCCTTAATCAACACACACAGTATAATTATTTTTTTACTCAAAACAATACTTTGATCTCATTCATGTTCATACAGAATTAGAACTTTTTAAGTTTATTTTGTAAATTATAAAAAAGTTACAAAAAATTATTTCCATTTTATGAATTATGATTTTTTCAAATTATTTTCAAATTTAGAATGTTTGTTCAAAAATATTTCAAAAAATTATTTATTTTTGTAACTTTTTTAATTGATTTTTATTAATTAGTTTAGTCTAACAAGCTAAAAAAAGACGTCTTTTGAACGTTCAAATGAGTCCAAAACGTTCAAATGACATTCAAAACATTTTCAACGTCTTTTGGAAGGTACTGGAAGGTACTATGAAATAAAAAATCTTTTAACCGGTGAGACTTGATAGACAGATTGCCAGTAGACAAAAAAAAAAACCTTTTAAAAAAAAACAATGTTTAAAAAATTTAGAAATAACAACTACAGTAATAATAATTTTAATAATAGCATTAATAAGAACAGCAGTATAATAATAAGAATTATTATTATTGTTAAATTTGTTAATAATAATATTAATAAAAAAATAAAAAATAAAATAAATTTTTTGCAAGTAAAACAAAATTAAAAAAAAAAAAAATCAGCAATTGAATACCTTGTTCCATAAAATTGAACAACTTGATTATTTTTTCTTACAACTTGCAAAATAGAAAAAATCAACTTTTTTTTAGTTTGTCACTATGCAAAACTTATAGAAAAGATTTTTCGATTTAATAACAGAATTCATCTACTTTTATTTCTTTTTTCATTTAATTTTTCCTAAATTAAATAGATAAATAGATGTATTTAAATATTTCTGTTTCTTCCAAGTTCAATGCGCTTCATTACAAAAAGCATAATGCAAAACAAAAGCGGCTACTTCTTTTTTATAAAAAGATCATTCGTAGCGAGCTGTTATTTATATTGACTATACTCACGCAAGTGGAGCTATAAAGAAGTCAAAAAAGAATTCGAAATAAAGAATACCACACAAAATACGTTTTTAATCGGGTTTTTTAATACTTTAAAGTGGAATAATAATAAAAACTTTAAAAAATTTTTTTTACAACAAATGAACAAGAAATTAAAATTAATAAAAGATAAAGAAAACAAAAACAACCAAGTTGCAACAAACATCATATAGAAAAACAATATTGCTAAATAGAATATAAATAAATGTAATATAAAATAGAATATAAAACAACCAACTAGTAACAAATTTCAACAGCGTCCAAATGATTTATCTAGTAAATAGAGAAACACAATACTGCAAACTTTTTTGAATTAAATAGTTATGGATTCATTTCTGAAATGGTTTTGATATGGATTCATTTCAAAACCGCAATTACATACAATATTTCATGATTTACACATAAAAAGAATCTGCATTATGAAAGATTAAAAGCTTTGATGTAATAATACACGAGAGTATATACTTGCATAAATTGTTATAGATTATATATAAACAATTTTATGATTTATTAATTATTTTTTAATGATTTATATTTTCAAGTTGGTTATTTGTTATTGTATTAATAATTTTTAGTTAACAACATTTAAACATCATACATTAAAAATATCAAGATAAAAAATATATAAAGTTTAAAGATTGACGAAGCCTTATATTTTTATTTATACAATACATCAGAACTTGTTAATCTTCAAATGTTAGGTGAACTGAAATTTTGTAAATTTGCAATATTTTTTAAGTATCTATCAATAAAAAAAGTTTTTATTTTCAAGTACCAAATTTCATTTATCAATAAAAAAAGCATTATGAAGACAATATCTTTAGGTATTTATCAATAAAATAAAAAAAGAAAACATAAAACTTTTTGGAAGACAATATTTTTGTTTGAGTGAGTTGTATATTTTTCTTTTCACAAAAATTATACAAAACAATTTTTTTTGACAAAACATAATTTTACTAAATTAATTTTAACAACTCCTAATTTTAAATTCTAATTCTAACTTTAAATTATAAAATAAAAAATGAATAACGTTGCGTATCACTCTTTTCACTTTAAAATTTGCCGTAAAACTTTTTTATTACAAAATATAAATATACACAATATTTGCATATAACACTTTTTCTACTAAAACACATTTCTAAATGCGGTTTTCTATTTTACGGAACCTGTTTAGACAAGAAAACGCGTTTTACTCTTACTTTTTTTGGTGTGCTCATAGACACTTTTGCGCTTTCAAAAGTTTTATCTGCTTAATTAAAAAAATTATATATATATATATATATATATATATATATATATATATATATATATATATATATATATATATATATATATATATATATATATATATATATATATATATATATATATATATTAAAAATTATTGAAGATCCAACAATCCTAGTGTATTTAATTCCTCTATGTATTAACAATATAGTAACCAATGTTTGAAATTATTTGTAAAATGACAATAATGGTTTTCAAAAGATACTAATTTTTAACATTTGCTTTTAATATAATTTACAAAGAAACGAAAAACTTGCATTTGTATTTAATTAATAATTCATTTGTAACTTAATCTTCTTGTTTAGATTTTACACGTTCTACAACGTCATTCATACGTCATTTCGACGCATAAATAGATTGCTTTTATTCTTTTTTTTTTTCTCTTTCCTTTATTATAAAAATATATTGAATTTTTTTTTTTACCTTTGTTAATTTTTTGATTGTTATGTTTAATAAAAAAAAAGTATCGGTCATCGCAAATAGTAGGGATGGCGATAGTCTTATTTTTAGTGACTAAACCCTACGGGCAATTGTTTTTAAAAGTTACGTTTTAAATGTATTTAAAATGTCTTTTTAAACGTCTTCCAAACATTTTTACGTAAGGAACGTTTAAAATACGTTTGAAAAACGTTTATAAGACATTTAGAACGTAACTTTTAAAAACAAATGCCCGTAGGGAGATAACTTTCAGACATAGAGCTAAGTTCCAAAGTACCAAACCTTAAATAAGACGGAAATAAAACTTTTAGTTTTAAACTGATAATAGGGGAAAAGCGCCTATGATGGCATAGCACCTATGATGGCATACTGGTCATGTTTTCATAAATCTTGGTTATGGGGAAAAAGTGATTAGACACACATGTCTATACTAACTTTACATTAGTTTTAGTAAAAATATGTGCCTTAAGCGTAAATATTGCTTTTATAATCAACAAAAATCGATTTTAGGATGTAGTGTTGTATTTTTAATCCCTTTATATACTTAAGATTGTGATTTTATTATTAATTGTGTAGAAATGAAATTTTCATGCATTTTATTTCCAAGTTTTGTGCATTTAGTGGAATACTTATTTTAATTTTATCTTTTGAGCAAGGTAGACACAGCGTGTTTAAATGAAAATGATGACTTATTCCTATAATGACATTCTGACGAGTGAGTTGTGTTGCATTACTAATGAATTGGGAAAACCTTCTTTTTTTTGCGTGTGCATAAAATTTTGTTAAACTGTTTTATTACGGGTTAATGGTTTTTAAGTTCAACAAGTAAATTAAAAATTTAAGTTAAAAATTAAAATTTTTTTTTTTTTAAATTAAAAAAAACCCAATGCTTTTATATGTTATTAAAACACAAGTTTTGCAACCAATTTTTTTATCATATTACTGTTTTATTTATTAACGCTCGGCTGTATGCGTGTGTAAAATTACAAATAGGTTCAGTAAGAACCTTTTTGTTGTTTTACCACAGACATAGGCGTTGACTTGAATGTCTGCGGTTCGCGGGTCGCGAACCACAGACATTCAAGTCAACGCCTCATCCATATATGATAAACGCGCGTATAAATATAAAAACAATCAATACACTTATTTATAAAATGTTTATTCTTTTTTTTCTAATTAAAAAATAAACGTAATTAAAATTAACTAAATTAGTTGATTTAGTACAGAACTAATTATTGAATATTGTCATCAAGCAAGAGTATGTATGCAAAATTTAAAGAAAATCTATCATCAGGAAGTAACTCAAATAATGATAGCAAGATTTAATGCTCACAGACGAACAAACAAACAAACAAACAGACTGAGACAACGAGCTAATAAAAGTATCGGAAAAAAAATGATTGAAATGAATTTTAAACTTGTGGCTAGTATCCTTCAGTTTAACATTACTCGAACAGTAACCATGACCGGGTATCTGTCAACAACCTTAGTTGAAGGGATTGGGATAGAATTTATAGTTTTTTTGTTTATAGGGTTCTACGACTGTAATTTTTTAAAAAGCATTTTCATTGTAAATAAGCACAAAACTACTTGAGTATGAATTTTACTACATACCATCCGAGCGTGATGGAATGTAGTAAAATTCACCATCCATATCATCCATCATATATCAAACGGTAAATAAAAAGACAAATCAGCGCAGAGCAACTAAAGTAATTACGGAGCTCAAACATCTTTTTTACAAAATAAAGACACTACATCCTTGCACTAACCTTTCTGAAAACCAGAAGGAAAGTACAACATTGTAAAATAACAGATTATTTCAAAAAAGTTGACTTCTTCACTCCATAAATAGCAGCGCCTGCTACTTCACACTACAACCTACGCGGCCACAACCTTCGCCTCGAAAAACAGAATGTGTCGAACTGTGCTGAACGATTCATTTATTTCACAAACTGTGTCTTGGATGAATTTAATTCTTTATTGTACGATACTGTAAACACATTTTCAACAAATACTTTCAAGAACTTTTTTACCAGAAAACTTAGCCAAACAACATAAATAGTTAACCGGGTATACCGAGTATCCTCTGCATAGAAATGAAGCTTCATTAATTAAATTAATTAATGAAGTGCGCTCATTTTCAAAAATTTAGTTTTTGAAAACATTGCGACGTTTTTTACATTATGTAGTTAAAGAAATTAATTATAGAAAATTAAACTTAAGTTTTTATAACTTAGTTAAATTTTGAATTTTCAAAATTTCTTTCAAAGTTAAAGAAATTTTAGTTTTAAATACAATGAATTATTTAAATGTTATCAGTAAGCCAAAAATTATTGAAAAGACTATAGGTTAAACAAAAAATCATTGAAAGGAGTATGTGCTAAACAAAGCAAGATTTTCAACGAGTTAATATATTTTTTTTAAAAAAACATTTTTAGGACAGAGTTTTTTCTTCTGGCATTGAAACATTGGTGGATCCAACATTTATCGATATATTTTAGATAACTAACTTCCAGCAAACTCCAAACATTTATATGTTTAAACTTATGTCAAACAAGAACGCTTTGCATTCTTGTTTGACATTTTCTTGTTTTTTTGCATTCTTGTTTGGCAATTTTCTAGCTAAAAACTTTAGCTAGAAAATTGCCTCTTTTTTTTTTCAAAGGAGGAAAAATAAAAAACATTATGTTGCTCATTGTTCATAATGTTTTAATTTTTTTTTTATAATTTTGTAACTTACTCTGTAAATTGCATATATAACATTGTGTATGTTATTTAAAAAGTATTTGTATTGTTTTGATATATAAACAACTAAACTGTTATTAAATTTTAAAAATTAGAATGTAATTGATTGTGAGGTATTTAAACTGGTTTAAATTAATATATTTATTTAGCTTGACTTCTGGAAAATTTTTATTTAGATAAAATACTTAATAAAGAAATCTATAATTGTTATTTAACATTGAAAGATACCTCATACAATACCATTGAGATACTGAAGATACCTCATACAATACTGAAGATAGTATACTATCTTCAGTATTGTATGAGGTATAATTGTATGTATTGTATAGTATACTATCTTCAGTA